GCGCTCAAGCACAAACTGTGGATCAAGTCTAAAATATCCATACAGAGAAAACAAATCTGATATGAATTTCAATGTAAAATTTTTCAAATAAAGGGCTTACTTGAAAATAGTTGGCGAATGTAGAGGCCTCTGCTCTGGCCTCTTGGCTGGGTATCAGGCCAACAACAAGAAGGCGGAGCGGTACTTGGCCAACATTGCGAATCATCAGCTGTCGACGGAGATAAAGCTCGGTGAGCAAGTTGCCACTAGAAGCAATGCCATCAGATGCAAAATTCTCTTGATCACCAGTCCTGCTTCTAATGCTGATATTAGCAACGGAGGGCTTCAGCCGCGACTTAAGGGCATCTGAAAGCCTGACAAAAAAGCGCCACGCGAAAACTAACGGACTGTCTGTGGCCTCGCGAAGTGCGCTGAGACCGGCAGTAGATGGTCGAGGACTAAGCCTCAAAGACATGAGCATATCGCGCACAGGCCAGAATACTTGAGGACAGGGAACGATAGATGAAAGATCGCATAGCAAGTTGGATAGAGATACAGCTACCATTCGAAAGAAAGCGAACAAGGATGGAGAACTTCGCTGTTCAGAAATATGCGCGCCTGTTAATAGATGGGAAATACGAGAGATGCTTACAAAAGGATCTTAGCTAAGGATAATGGAACAAAATATATGGGAAAGTAAAGTTGGAAGTATGGATTCGCAAATTTTCAATACTGAAATGGATAAATAAATGAATCCTTTAATGATGATTGTAAGTACTTTCTTAGACGTGAAGAGAAAAGAACTCAGAACAAATTTAAAGAGGTAGCAGGTGTTCAGGAGACTTCGATTTTCACAACAAAAACCCCTTGACGTACAATAGGAAGAATAAAAAAACAAGCTTCATGAGACAAAAGAGCGAATATTGCTTCAAAATTATCACGAAGTAATATGTTGTATTCGCTATTAAGCCATATTAATACAACTATTAGGAAGAATCCCAGACAGAAAGAAATAATTTTTATTCGGTTGAATGAAAGCCTTGGATTAATAAATAAGTGTATATGCATGGTTCGACAAATATTCACACGAAAATTAATGAATAGAAATGGCTATTGTCCCCTGTGTAATCAAGATTGAGCAAGTGGGCAATGACTACAACATTTTCAGATGATGAATGTTTGAGAGAGTGAAACAAACCGTAAGTTGTATAGAAGTTGTTTGACCTTGGTCATATTAGCAGGAGGGCCTAGATGAACGCACCTTGTACGGAGTCCATAGTATGCATGATAACTTCCAAAGTCAGACCGTGAACTTGGTATATTCCCAGACGTTTCGCCGGCATCGTCAATGAGCTTTGCCATTCTTAGCACCACACTACAGCTCGTCAAAAGACAAATGAAGCAGAGCCTTTGACCAAATGCCCTAGGTTATTCACCAATCCTATATTCTCGTATCCCTCTTTTACTATCGTGCCCTTTTTTATGAGATTTCATAAAAACTCTCCAAACTCAACACTGGCTTTCTCACCGCCTCACTCCCTTTCACCCTTGTGCTGGAAATGGCAAGACTCACTGATGATGCCGACTACAATGCCGGCAAAACGTCTGGGAATGTACCAAGTCTAGGATCCGACTCTGGAAATGATCATGCGTACTATGGACTCTGGACAAGGTGCATTCTTCTACATCTTCCTGCTAATATGACCAAGTTGCGAATCCAAGGTCAAACAACTTGTATACAACGAAAGGGGACTGTGACCATACAAAAGGCCACATCATCCTGGTCTTCATCCCTTGATTAAATCGTAAGTTGGTAACACCTCAGAATGGGTTCTTTTAGGTAAGCGAAGTAGGCAAGGCTTATTTAAGAAAGAAAGTGTTATAACTAGATGCCATATTTGAGCAAGCCATACTGAAGGCAGAAATGTAATTTTATTGGTAAATTGCAAAATAGGAATGGTCCCTTAGTTAAGCAATATCTGGAGCCAAAATAATCTTTAAATAATCTCTGATAGTCAGTCTTATAGTATGCTGGTAAGTTACACCAAGGATCTAGCAGGAAAATTACGCTTATAAAATTTTTACTGAAAATATAATATTTAGTATGTATTGGGAAGTAATAATGGTTAATATATTTTATGAGATGTATTCACTTAATTTCGTTTAAGGTGATGAAGGAGAGGTAGAAGAAGAATTTTCCCACAATGATATGAGTTGAGCTGAGGGTTCCATTGAATTTACCATAACCTTGCTTTCCTAAAATTTGTTCTCATCCAGGGTGGATTGCAGTTTCGACCTCGCATCGGTCTTATCAACACCCTCAGCGGGAGTCG